TATATCACGCTGTTTATTAGTATACATGCTGTTTATAATATCAATATACACGCTGTTTATAATATTAGTATACTTTATAATATTATATACACCTGTTTATTAGTATACGCTGTTTATAATATTAGTATACGCTGTTTATAATATCAATATACGCTGTTTATAATATTAGTATACATGCTGTTTAATATCAATATACACGCTGTTTATAATATTAATATACATGCTGTTTATAATATTAGTATACACGCTGTTTATAATATTAGTATACTGTTTATAATATCAATATACGCTGTTTATAATATTAGTATACGCTGTTTATATATTAGTATACACGCTGTTTATAATATTAGTATACTGTTTATAATATTGTATACGCTGTTTATAATATTAGTATACGCTGTTTATAATATCAACACGCTGTTTATAATATTAGTATACGCTGTTTTAATAACTTATATATAATTTTTAATATGCTTTATATTATATGCTGTTTATAATATTACTGTTTATAATATTAGTATACGCTGTTTATAATATTAGTATACGCTGTTTATAATATTAGTATACATGCTGTTTATAATATCATTACACGCTGTTTATATATTAGTATACACGCTGTTTAAATATTAGTATACACTGTTATAATATATCACGCTGTTTATAATATTAGTATACACGCTGTTTATAATATCAATATACGCTGTTTATAATATTAGTATACGCTGTTTATAATATTAGTATACACGCTGTTTATAATATTAGTATACACGCTGTTTATAATAATATACATGCTGTTTATAATATCAATATACACGCTGTTTATAATATTGTATACGCTGTTTATAATATTGTATACACGCTGTTTATAATATTAGTATACGCTGTTTAATATTAGTATACATGCTGTTTATAATATCAATTACCTGTTTATAATATTAGTATACACGCTGTTTATAATATTGTATACGCTGTTTATAATATTAGTATACGCTGTTTATAATATTAGTATACGCTGTTTATAATATCAATATACGCTGTTTATAATATTAGTATACGCTGTTTAAATATTATGTACACCTGTTTATAATATTGTATACATGCTGTTTATATCAATATACTTATTAGTATACGCTGTTTATAATATTAGTATACATTTATAATATTAGTATACGCTGTTTATAATATTAGTATTTATAATATTCTATGCTGTTTATAATATTAGTATACACGCTGTTTATAATATACACTGTTTATATTGTATACATGTTTATAATATTAGTATACATGCTGTTCATGATATCAGTTACGCTGTTTATAATATCATTTAATATTGCACGCCTTTTTATATTGTATACATGCTGTTTAATATATATACGCTGTTTATTATTAATTATAATATTGTATACGCTGTTTATAATATTGTATACGCGTTTATATTAGCTGTTTATAATATATACGCTGTTTATAATATTGTATACGCTGTTTATTAGTATACATGCTGTTTATAATATCAATATACACGCTGTTTATAATATTGTATACGCTGTTTATAATATTAGTATACACGCTGTTTATAATATTAATATACACTGTTTATAAAATATACCCTGTTTATAATATTAGACGCTGTTTAAATATTAGTATACACGCTGTTTATAATATTAGTTACATGCTGTTTATTCAGCGTTTATAATATTAGTATACGCTGTTTATAATATCAATATACGCTGTTTATATATCATATACACGCTGTTTATAATATTAGCTATTTATAATATTAGTATACGCTGTTTATAATATCAATATACGCTGTTTATAATATTAGTATACACGCTGTTTATAATATTAGTTACACGCTGTTTATTATATCAATATACACGCTGTTTTATCAGTATACACTGTTTATATATCAATATACACGCTGTTTATAATATTAGTATACGTTGTTTATAATATCAATATACACGCTGTTTATAATATCAATATACACTGTTATAATATTAGTATACACGCTGTTTATAATATTAGTATATTGTTTATAATATCAATATACATGTTTATATTATCAGTATACTGTTTATATTGTATACTGTTTATAATATTTGTATACATGCTGTTTATAATATCAATACGCTGTTTATAATATCAATATACACGCTTTTATAATATTAGTATACACGCTGTTTATAATATTAGTATACATGCTGTTTTATATATCAATATACACGCTGTTTATAATATTAGTATACACGCTGTTTATAATATTAGTATACACGCTGTTTATAATATCATATACGCTGTTTATAATATCAATATACACGCTGTTTATAATATCATATACACGCTGTTTATAATATTAGTATACACGTTTATATATCAATACACTGTTTATAATATTAAGACATTGTTTATAATATCAATATACACGCTGTTTATAATATCATATACGCTGTTTATAATAGTTAATTTATAATATCAACGCTTTAGTAATATTATCAGTATACGCTGTTTATAATATCAATATACTTTTTAGTATACGTTGTTTATAATATCAATATACGCTGTTTATAATATAGTACGCTGTTTATATATCGTATCACAATATGCTGTTTATATTTATCTTTATAATATTTATCATCTTATAATATCAATATACACGCTGTTTATAATATTAGTATACACGCTGTTTATAATATTAATATACACGCTGTTTATAATATTAGTATACACGCTGTTTATAATATTAGTATACACGCTGTTTATAATATTAGTATACATGCTGTTTATAATATCAATATACACGCTGTTTATAATATTAGTATACACGCTGTTTATAATATTAGTATACACGCTGTTTATAACATTAGTATACACGCTGTTTATAATATCAATATACACGCTGTTTATAATATCAATATACACGCTGTTTATAATATCAATATACACGCTGTTTATAATATTAGTATACACGTTGTTTATAATATCAATATACACGCTGTTTATAATATTAGTATACACGTTGTTTATAATATCAATATACACGCTGTTTATAATATCAATATACACGCTGTTTATAATATTAGTATACACGCTGTTTATAATATCAATATACACGCTGTTTATAATATCAATATACACGCTGTTTATAATATTAGTATACACGTTGTTTATAATATCAATATACACGCTGTTTATAATATTAGTATACACGTTGTTTATAATATCAATATACACGCTGTTTATAATATCAATATACACGCTGTTTATAATATTAGTATACACGCTGTTTATAATATCAATATACACATATAAATGCGTCTAATGAAGTGATTACAGGGGTACCTAGTGACAGCACTGGGATCCCGCTTCCTCTATCAAGGAATAAACAATTGAAATTGAATTGAATGAAGTGATATTATGCAGAGTAAATGAAATGGTTCATCTAAGTTCCGGCATAGATAGCGAAAGATGACAAACGAACCAAGAAAGAGGCGAATAGATGCGAAGAAAGGGACCAATGGGGAGCGAAAGACATCTGAAGATGGATGACAGCATCAGAGCAGCCCACAGGGAGGAGGATTATGGAGAGTTCAGGTAGCGGTCTGTGACGTTAGGATTTCTTCTTCTCCACAAGCATTTAAAGGCAAAATTAAAAACACAAAAACCCTGTATGTGTTAGTGGATTTTCCCTCACCACTAAGAGAGCTCAGGTTCTCAATTGGCTCAGCCATGTCAATATTGTTATTATTATCCACTCTGTATCAGTATTTTTCTGGCTAAATAAAATGTTTCAATATCAATACCTCCTTCAACCTTCGGTGGATGGGATCACGTGAATATTAGGCACATCCAGTGGTTCTTATCCTTAGTGGTGCTGCGCCCACTGAATCCAAATGAATAAAATTGTTTCTCTGGATAAATAAACAAATATTAGGAATAAAACCCTTGTATATGTGGAAGAATACAATATTTATAGAAGTTTAATCGTACTCACTGGAAAGGGTGTTAGGATTGCCCCATCTCAATAAACATTTTAGAAAAACAAACTAACAAAAACAAACAAAAAACTTAAACGCGTGAGTGAATCCATTATTATTATAAGCTCGATAGTGGATTGAAAACCATATTCGAATTTCAGTTGAAAGATTAGCATTGCTTCTTCCCCACAAGCATCTGAATCCTTGGTGGAATCGAAGAAAGGACACGGGGCATGTCGCTTTCAACGCAGCCTGTTCCAGCACTTTGTTTTCAGAGCAACGAACGTTGAAAAATATGTTTGACAAAGATATGTGGAAAAAAAACAGTAACAACCAATCTACACGTTTGCTAACAAATATTTTATCCCAAACTTCTCCAAATATTCTTGGACGGATGAATTAATTTCATCTCCAGGAAGGGTCTAGGTCCCCAACAATACCCATTGATTCTCCATGATGCATGTGTTTTAGCCCCTCAACACGCAATATTTATAACTAAAAAAAAATCTTGTGTACATAACTACGATGATATAATTGGGATTGTATATTCTGAGTCACAGATATGTTGACCTATTTCACCGAGCTCTCGCACTCCAAGTTAAGAACCGCTGCCATATTCTAACATAACTTCAACTAACATAATTCCATACATAATCTAACCTTACCTAACTTAACATAACATAACCTGACCAAACCTAACATAACCTTACATACCTAGCAAACCTAGTTTAAGCTAACATGACATAAGCTACCGAAACCAAATATAATCTAATCTAACCAAAATTAACACCCTTCGGTAACGTTAGGATGCACTTTAATCATCAGGTGAAATGAGCTGGATGTCTATTGCCTACGTGAACCAGTTGATGAATAATATTCATTACTGGTGTGAAGTTCATGACAAAAAAAGCATTACCTGAAATATGGCTGAGAAACACTACTATTGATGTTGATGACTGAGAAACATTGCCTGTTGATGTCTGAAAAACACTACCAATGATGTTAGTGACTGAGATACATTACCTGTAATGCAACTGTTGTACCAAAGTGGCGCTCTTCCCGTCGTACACCGTGTCTGCAAGGATAAACATGACCTTCTTATGTAAATATTTTTCATGGCAGCATCTAAACTGTCAGTTATCTTGACCCGTTAATTCTCCTATCTATAGATCCATCCATTTGCATCTGAAAACTTGTAAAATACACTGATAGTGCAGTGTGAGTCTTGTGAAGCAGCAACATGTAATCTTTCAACAGCTTCTTAGTTTAACGTACAGTATTTCTTTTGGGCAAAATCATGAAGACCATTGACAGCCTAGGGTCAATATGGTGCTTGTGAGCGAGGCGTAAATAGTAACCTGATAGTGACAATAACACTTAGGAGTCACATGGGATAATACACTTGTCATCACATGGGTAAATTGTAACACAACAGATACTTTACATTTTTGGTCACCGAAAGATGATCTGCAACTGGAAGATCTAGTTTTGAAGAATCAATATAGCTCCATAAGTAATTTGACTTCTAGATGATTTAGAAGCTTATTACAGTCGCGGGTAGAAATAATCATCCACCCCTCCTACTACTATACAGTACCTGCAAGCTCAAAGCCTGTCTACACGATGGGTCACAAAAGTGTGGGGGAGGTATTGATGCCGGGAGAGCTAGGGGTAGCAGACCCGGGTAAGGTAAGTGAACGCAAGTCAGGGGCCACATACACGTCTTAGATTATCCTTAACACCTGAAGAAGGTGTTAAGCTTGGTGGATGTTGCTTGACGTCGACGGCTTTAACCCTGTCAGTTGATAGGCCTAATGGAATGCGACTGAGCTTTTGGCAGGTCATGTTATTAGGGTTGATAAGACGTTTAGCATCCGTGAAGGAAAGTCCTTGATATGACAACATAAGAGAGGAGGGGTGTGGTTTGGTCACCACTAGCAACACTAAGTAGGCTGTTGTTTGATCACTTCCACCTCTCGCCAATACTTTTCTTAAAAAAAATAAATATTAATTGAAAAAAAAACTAAATGATTTGTTGGATAGGATGTGAATTGTCCACTCTGTAATATGTTTATATGAGTTGTGAAAATCAAAGCCAGGTGATGAGGTGGTAGTGGCAATGGTGTTGCCCCTGCTCCACACCCAGCTCAGGATGGAAGCTGAAGAACGCGGGCAAATTATTGGTTTGCGCGCGGCTAGCTATAACGTGTCAGAAATTGCAAGGGGGATTCGGTCACTTTAAGATGTTGGTTAATCCACTGGGAGGAGTCTGGGAACTTGGGAATCCGGCCGTAATGAATATTTTTGAAGGGTTGTTGGCATTTCATTTATTAAAATTACTACTTTCGGCTATGTAATGTAAACAAAATACATTTTAACTCTTAATTCATAAAAAAAATATAATTTTAGGGCGGGGGAGGACACGACTGACAGTCGAGGAGAACATTGTATGGGCCATGTGATTTCCACCCTCGTATTCAATATTTTTCCTCATATCAACACTTGTATGAATATCTAATTACCGTTCTTTAAATCCTGAACAGCAACCTGAAAAAAAAATAAATAAGGTAATGGATGGCAAGTTATAATAATAATAAAATTAGGGTCTTCATCTATTACTCTTTCAAGTATGTAAACCTAAGATAACATAGTTAAAAAAAATTACACCCATCCTTCCCTTCCTTCTTTCATGAATTTTCCTGCTTTCTACAATCCACCCCCTCCCCCTCTCTGATGAGCAATTTGCATCGCATACCACCCTCTCACACCCCTCCCAACAAACGGCTTTCCCCACAGGCGACCATTCTTCCTCTCCACCTCACGTGACTTTACGTGCAAAAAGGACCCAGTGCAGGGGTTTGATGGTGGCGTGGATGATTACTTTTGACTGCGACTGTACAATTTGCTTTTTTATTTATCAATAAAAGGCACAGGGAATGCTAGACTAGGTTGAGATAAAACTCTTTTTCCCACCTTCCACAATATTTTTTAGCTAATGAAATAAAATCTTGTTCGGGAGAGGTAGAGTGGTTCTCCGAGACACACAACATAATTCATACTCACCCATCCTGACGTTGTTGAACTCTGGGGGAAGTGGGATGCCGATTTTGTCTAGGAACAGATCTTCTGAGAGCATCTTGATATTGCCGTCGTACACGTTGGGAAAGTTGATCTTGGGTCTCCACACTCTGTCCATGTCCACGGCTGAGAGCGTATTCCATTCCAACGTTTCACCCAGGTTCTGATACTTTAGCCTAGGGTCGTTCCACCTGATCTCTATCAGAAACTCTACATTACTGACGCGTCTAATATCACTAATCTCCATGAAGCGGAGGACGTCGACGGTAGGGGCCACGTAGATAGCTAAGCCTTCTGTTTCGTTGTCTGGCGGCCTCTCCGAACGGTAGCCTTTCGGCAGAATGATTAACTGACAATCTTCTTCATCAGACAGATCAACGCAGTCGTCCTTGGCGTTATAGCGAAGTTCTTTGGGGATACAGTCACCGTTGGCACATGTGAACTCGTCGTTATCACAAATGGAGAAACTCATTTGCAGTTGAGTTCCAATCAGATAATCACACATCGACCTCTTGAGCGTCCAGATGTTTCGACCAATCGGGTAAGAGTCCTTCGTGGGAACCTCCAGGATACCAACGACTTCGCCTGTGGTGGTGTCAAACATCTCCCACGTGTAGGTGTCAGTCTTGTACACAATAAACCCATAGTACCCGTGCATATACGGTTTCTCCCTCTTGTATCCCAACACTTCGTAGTAAGTTTCTGCTTCGTTAGAGAAACAGAACCCTCTAAGACGAAGAGGTGAAGTGCGATCCACTTCGCAGGGAACACAAGCAGGCCATCTGATAACACAAGAGGTGTCTACCCACAAACCGTTGGGCAGAAACATCAACATGCAGTTTTCTCCCGTACCCCCATTAGGTTCATTGAGTTCAAACTGAGTTTCAGCAACCGAGTTATCAGTAAATTTTCTCCACACGTCTTCTACCTCCTCGTCGGTCACACCAATCCACAGATGATAATTAGAAAGACATTTTTCGGCAAAACGAAGCGACTCTTGGTGAAGAATAATGTTTTCCTCGCGGTCTTGGGGAGTGTAGACCTCGTAGCCTATCCTAGTGCAGACCAGTCGAGATTCCGCCATGTAACGCGCCTCTGGAAAGATGACATACTCGACGGATTTCTGGCAGAAGTGCTCAGACTTCACCAGCTCAACACTGGCGCCCCCGAGTAGCTCTACATTTTCTCTGTCAGTGGAAAAAATGTTGCCGAGAGGAGCCTTGTTGCACGAGGCTTGTTCCTTCACCTCCTCCGGCGTGAGCGATCTATTCCAGATGTTAACTTGGGCGATATGACCACGAAAACTCTGGTCGGTGTCGTAAGCCCCAGCCAGCAGATCCTGTTCCTGCCCTACGGTGATGATGCCCTTAACTGGCAGAGGAACTTTGTGGGGAACGCTGAAGGGGCCTCGGGCAGCCAGCTCGCCGTGGATATAAGCACGGTATTCGCCGTGGTGGAAGTTATGACAGTAGTGACTCCACTGATGGAGGCCGATGTCGTTGGTCATGTTTTGTTTGTTTTTATTTTCCATTTATTTTCATACTCCGAGATCTCCTCTATTGCCCGAGCAGTGAGTTGCGCCATCCTTGCTGTGGACTTTCCTGGGCAGGTGACGATCTGTGTTACATCATCGTCATACATGACGTACTCGCTGCCGACGATTGGGGGTGGCAGGTCAGCCGTGTAGAGTGTGTAAAGGGTTGGTGAGAGACAAGAGCCCTGAGGCACGCCACTCGATAGTGAGAATTCTTCTCCAAAATGTTCTTGCATCTTGATTTTGGCTCTGCGGTCCATAATGAAGTTACACAGCAGGCGCGTCAGATTTTCGGGTAGCCCCAGTTGTATGATCTTATACTGCAGCCCTGCGTGCCAAACTTTGTCAAACGCTTTGCTGACGTCCCTCAGTACTATATTGCACTGTAGGCGGCCAGTCATGGCATTGGCGATCTGCTCGTAGGCCTGAGCTATGGCGGTGGATGTGCCTTTGTACTGGCGGAAGACGAACTGGCGGGATTATGCACGACTTCGTCCTCCAGATACATCCGCAATCGCTTGTTGACTATGTTTTGAATATTTTGGCAGGTACCTCTAGCAGCGACAATCAAGCGAGTCCATAACGTAATACAGTATAAGATGTTAATAAACTTTAATTGAAAATCAATCTAGTCATTGTCTACTAAAATAACCATTGTGCAACCTCATTCTAAATCCTAGGTTAGCTTAGTTAGCCAACAATCTCTGTAATATATAAAAAAAGGGGTGTCGTCCCCCTCTGCTTAACTCAACTGCCTCAGGCTCCTATTGGTGCTTGACCAGTGTTGGTTCAGATGCGACTCCTGATTGGCTGCCTTGAGAGTACAGTATGAAGTTTCCTCCCTGAATACTGATTTGACCTTGATGAGAGAGAGAGAGAGAGAGAGAGAGAGAGAGAGAGAGAGAGAGAGAGAGCAACAACCGCAAAAAATAAAACACTAAAAATCAACACACCAGCCAAGTAAAACCAAAATAAACCCACCACCAAATAAAACAGAACCAACCTTCCTAAACTCCCTAAAGTAACTCAAATTCCCCCAAATCTGAAAAACAAAATAACAACACAATAATCCTTAAAATAAAATCCCTCTAAAATTCTAAAAAAAATAAATAAAATAAACAAATAAAATAAAATAAAAATACAGCCATAAGATTTTTCTTTATTTATCCTTGGGGGTTTTTGCCAATGCCGCCATCTACATCAATATTAAATCCGGATTCATTTCCCGAACGATGGAAAAGTTTGTTTACGTTTCCCGAAGACACGTGAGGTTTTCTGCCGCTGACGGAAGACGGGGATATGAGTCTTTTAACTTATATTCTGCAAAGGTTAATAAATTTGTATGTATGTATGTATGTATGTATGTATGTATGTATGTGTAATTTGTAAACAACTTCGAACGTATTGTAAAGGTAAACCGTGAGAGCCATCAGCCTAACGGACGGACGGACGGATGTACAACACACGCACAGACAGACGAACACACATACGGACACACATGTGGACGTGACCGCTGCAGAGTGAGAGGACACAGGTGAGTATATGGGGTCTGCGAGTCACTAATTGGAGAGGTAGAGATGTGAAAACCAGGTGTGACAGAGGCAGATGGGGGAAGGGGGGAGGGTGATGGGGTAAGGGAGGTGATGGGGTAAGGGAGGTGATGAGGTGGGAGATAGAATAAGAGGGAAGTGATGGGGAGGGAGAGCTGGAATGGGTGGGTGGGAGGGAGGGTGGGAGGGAGGGAGGGAAGAATAAGGGTTTCTATCAGTATGTAAACAACTTGGACGTATATTAAACTACTGTAAATTATAGAACAGTTCATAAAAGTACTTAAAGTATATACAAAATATATAAAACTATCTAAAATACATAAAAAGTAAAAGTATATAAAATGCATAAACGTATATAAAAGTATAGCAAAATGAAAAGTATAATGATAATACTTGAAACTCCTGATGAGAGTAATGAAGGTAAGCAAGACAATGTGACAGAGTGAGAGAGAGACAGAGAGAGAGAAAGAAAGACAGGCAGAGAGAGAGAGAGGCAGACAGACACAGGAAGAGAGAGAGAGAGAGAGAGGGGCAGACAGAGAGAGAAAAAGAAAGACAGACAGAGAAAGAAAGGCAAACAGAGACAGGAAGAGAGAAAGACAGAGGCAATAAGAGAGAGACAGAGAGAGAAAGAGAGAGAAAGACATAGGATACTCCCAAATTACCCCAAAGTATTCTGCCACCTTGGGCCAGCCTCTCAGGGGAGTTTCACCTTACCTGGGAGACTAATATAATAATACTCACAGTTTTAATAATTCCCGGGCATAATACTCAGGTAAAATATATATTAACAAGTTGGCTATCAGGTATAATATCCGGGGAGGTTACACCAATAACCTAATTAAACAGGTGTGCTATCTAGGTGCAATTAATAAGTTTAATATCCACATGTAATATACAGGTACAACATTATTAATACTCAGGTTTTAATATTCAACATTATTACAAGCTTATCGTGTCCCTGCACCAGGTAAACACGTAACTCACCCCCCCACCAGGTAAACACGACCCCCCCCCCTCGCCTTCAACATGATATTAAATTCTGCTTTAAGGGAAAAAAATATCTATCTAATAAGTGAGACGCAAATTGCTTCTTCAAGACGCTGGTGTTAAGTTACCTGTGGCGTGGGAATATTGCCTTAACATATATGCATACCTGTATACATAATATATAAACGTTGTTACGAGTTGGGGATTTAGAATATAGTTATACGTCTACCCAGATCCCAACAGGTAACAACAAAAAAAAAACAAAGACAATCGGACTATAAAAGGGTAGACAAAGGATGCGAGTTTTCGTTGTGTATAATAAAGTACCATAAATCCCTAAACAAAATATTCAGCTTATAAATTACCCTTAACCAAACTTAACCTAAACATCAACAGTATATACATATTAATACAACATTAACAATTTTGAAGCAAGTGGACGTGGGGGAGGCAATACAAAATACAAATACTTAAGTGAGGAGCTGAGATGGCTGACGAGTAAGGCTGAGTATTGTAGAAGACGGTAGGTAGTCACTGCACCGTAGGTTTAGAGGATAGATGATCCTGTGGTCACTTCCCAGAGCCAAGTCCTCTCTCCTCGAATTGGAGCTGACAAAGAAGACTTTGAGGAGGTGACGCAACAACCAGGATATGGAGAAGAGAAACCCCGGAGTGGTAACTAAGACGAGTCATACTCGTGTCTCGTCCCTAGATGGCGTTGCTCGTGGTGCTGGGTAGGTAGATCAGGACAATAGATGGCGTGGTTCGTAGTGCTGGGTGGAGGGGTTCGTAACAACGTATAGACATCCATGTGTGTGTGTGTGTGTGAGTGTGTGTGTGTGTGTGTGTGTGTGTGTGTGTGTGTGTTATCATTATTAATATTGTAGTTTTATGGTTCAAAGGGAATTGATTCCAGTCATCATTATTCCGCTCGTTTAGTCTAAAAGGGTGATTACCTGCCTGGGCTACTGACATAATTATATCTGATTCAATCTCTCTTTCTCCCTCTCTCCCTCTCTCTCTCTCTCCCATTTATCCTATTGTTTATCTCTCTATCTCCCTTTCTCTCCAAATTTTCTTCTCCCTCTCTCTCACTCTCTCCCTTTTCTTCTATTTTATCTATCTATCTCCCTTTCTCTCTAAGATTCCTTCTCTCTCTCTCTCTCTCTTCCTCGTTCTCTCTATCTCTCCTTCCCCCTCTTCTCTGTCTCTATCGTTCTCCCTACCTTGCGCTCCGACCTCCATCATCCATCTACTTTGCATAATTTTCTAATTTGTAACGAAGGGATGAGAGGTGTAAGGAAGCCGCTCCCTCCACTTTCTCTCGTATTATCTCTCTTTCTCGCTCACTCTATCTATATCTCTATCTTTATCTCTCTTTCTCACTCACTCTATCTATATCTCTCTTTCTCACTCACTCTATCTATATCTCTCTTTCTCGCTCACTCTATCTATATCTCTATCTTTATCTCTCTTTCTCACTCACTCTATATCTCTATCTCTCTCTATATTATCGCCGTTCCTTTCACTTACTTTATCTCTATCTTTATCTCTCTTTCTCACTCTTTATCTCAATTTATACCTATTTATCTCTTTCTCTCTCATTCTCCCTCTTTCTTTACTTCCATCCATTGTCATTACGATCAGATTTCTCACAAACAACCGCAACCCTTTTGTGAAATATGGCTCTCTCTCTCTCTCTCTCTCTCTCTCTCTCTCTCTCTCTCTCTCTCTCTCTCTCTCTCTCTCCGTCTCTCTCTTTATTCTCTTCTTTTCTCTCTATATACGAAAATATCTCTCCAACAATTGAACCCTTAAGAGAGAGAGAGAGAGAGAGAGAGAGAGAGAAATAATCACTCAGAATTTATGTCAAGCTAATAAACGTTGAGTGGCTGTATGTCAATCATATGTACGTTAACCGAATATATAATAAGCGAATATATTAAGCGGGTGTCCTTGAAGGGAGCAGCGACAGTAGAGGAAGGAATTAACGTAGGATCCTTTGAGCGTCCTACAAGGGTGAGGCGCGACCTGGACTTAATCTCCCTGACGTCCTATTGAAGGCAGTGAAAGGGTGAAGAAAGGCCAGCCTCCCTGCCCTCCCTAATGTAGCGCCAGGGAGACTAGTGGTAGACTCCCTGTGTGTGTGTGTGAGTGTGTTTGTCTGTCTGTCTGTCTTAGGGAGAGAGAGAGAGAGAGAGAGAGAGAGAGAGAGAGAGATTAAATGGAAACACAGAATAAGACAAAAAAATAGATACACAGATAGATAGATAGATAGATAGATAGATAGATCAATAGAAAGATAAAAGTCATTCTCACATTAACGACTTAAGAGGAAAACATTACGTAAGAACCTTAGAGAATCCATCATTGTGTCGTAGCTTAAGTGAAACAGTAAAAGGCGTTCTCACAACCCAGGTTAAGGTGTGTGGG